CGAATAGGACAAAATGTGAAGCCGGTGCCTCTGCACAGTTGTATTTGTTCTGTGCTTTGCACCCAAGGGGGATCTGCCACTAGATTCTTATTGCCAATGTTATCAGAACTACATTAAACACCACAGGTGCTAAGGACACCTTCAAATGTTGGTTCTTTTGGAAACTGAGTTCTGACTTTACCCCATTTTGCTCTTTTGGAGACTTTACATTAGAAGATACTTCCAGTTTCACAAATGCCTATCCTCATGCAGCGACGAGAGCACTAAGCTAGTATCTGTCAAAGCACCAGGAAGTGGGCCAGCTGAGCCTGCCGTTCGCTGAGTCCCACAGTGCTCCTCCACTGCTTCAGCAGATCATCTCTACATGCTGTCTTTGGGGATCGACTGTGTTTTCGTTCTTCTTACATTAGATCAAGCACTTTCACAACCCAATATTTTTTTCAAGCAAGAAATATGACTACATTTTTGGAACTCCTTAAATGTTTTTAAAGTTGACTTCGATATCTTTTACAAAAATTGAATGTATTTTATCTTGATTTCTTTATAATCTACTATAAGGTTTTTAAAACTGGTAACTGCATGAATAAATTTATCTGTGGAAATTCAAGTCTTTTGTTTTGTTTTGTTTTCCTGTCATGATTCATGGATATTCTGGCACGAAAATAAATAAATAGGTTCCAAAAGAAACAAAACATATCTAAAGCACAAAAGTAGTCAATAAACTTAAATGTTATCTGAACTTTGATACTAATACCAAGATGAGAACAACTAGTTAGGCCTCTTAAGTGGATCTTGGAGTATACTTTATAATCCAATGTCAATTCATTTTGTAATATGAACAGTAGTCTTATTGCAAAATGGAAATAAATGAAAAACAAAATCCACCCTCCTGGCTAGTGTTTCAAAGTCACTTATAATGCTGAGCCCTTGAATGGTTCTGAATGTTCTCTAATGGACTTTCATTCAGAAATAAATGATTTGGCAGATAGAATATTAAACCAGAACTGTTGTTGGTATGATTCCTTTTTCCATTTTTAGTAGATAGTAAGAGCTGTAGAATTAATTAATTTGCACTAGCTTTTGAGCCAAAATCATATTAAAAATGGAAACGATAACACCTACATTCACTTCTTTAGCCAAATGGAACATCTAGAACAATGCCAGAAATGGAAGTTAAGCAGAAAAGAAAAATAGAAATCAAATGCTCTAAGCAGCTGAAATATTCATTAAATAGCCATTTTGTTATATTATTGCTTTTCTCTGAAAGTCTTTGGGACAAATGGTCTGGATACTGGTACATGCTTAGCAAGAGCTAAATGGTTGACACATTATACCCAATGCTGAAGGACCCTTTTCATTGACTTCCTGGTTCACAGAAAATGAACAGCAAAGGTGTATAAGGAGCTTAGGGAAGAAGCGCCCGCTAGGAAACATGTCTTTAGTGGGGTTGCCAAAGGGAGAAAATTCATTGTCTGAGAACAGGGAGAAACATTAGAAAACAATAATAATTTTAAAAAATGAAATATTTAAGAACCTTAAAACCAACCAGTTTTTGGATCATTTAATATTGCTTAAAAACACCCCAGTGTCACTGGGAGTAGCACAGAATGAAAATGTCTACTCCAATGATGTTTTTGGTTCATCCTACATTTTAACCATATTCAGTGTTTTTATTAACTCAAAGAAAAATGATTAATATAAATGATTCAAACATTTCAAACATCAGCCTAGTCTTGCTAGAAATAACCAACCTGGGAGGCAGACAGACAGGCTAGATTTACCAAGGCTAGCCATATTCTATGCCAGTGCTGCCCAGTATAAATATAATGGGAGCCATACACATAACTTCAAATTATCTGGTAGTCATAATGAATTAAGTAAAATGAAATAAGGGAAATACTTGATCTCTATTTAAACTACATAACATTTGCAGGTGAACAAGTAGACTCATGTACTCAAATTGTTCCAACCACACTCATTGGTTTTCTAGTAATTAAATGGAATTTGTATTAATTACTAAATGCAATTAAAAATTCAGTTCCTTAGCTGCCCTCGACACATTTCAAGTGCTCAATAACCACATGAGGCTCGTGGTCACAATCTCAGATGGTGCTGTCCTATGTGGAAGTCTTAGGGCAAGATTCTAAAGCACTAGGGCAATGGGACAGCAAAACCAAGGGCTCAACGTTTGGGAGAATTAAATACGTATGAAGAGCATATCATATACTTACTTTTAATTCATCCTTGAATTGAAATAATTTAAAAATCTAGTTTTAAAGAACTGAATTTTAGTTTTATATAAGTTTCACTTTTCATGGGACCTATTGCCCTTACTACTTGATGAATATGATGATAATATGTGTACTAAATGTCAGGTGATAGTGAGAAGAAGGTATCCTTTCTAATAAAGACAGAATATGCAAATTGACTGTCGCTTCATGACAAAGATGGCGGCGCCCACAGCCAATAAGGAGGGAATATGTAAACTGATGCGACAAAGATGGCGGTGACCGGTCTGGGATGCTTATGTCGTCACCATGGCAATGACGCAGGCGTTCCACCCTGCCCTGGCCACTCTGGGCCCCTGGGCAGCGCACAAAGGTGGAAGGCGGCTCTGGCTGGTGTGAAGGCGGTGCCGACAGCCAGGGGAAGGAAAGCTTATTCTTGCACAAATCTTCGTGCATCAGGCCTCTAGTTTGATATAAATAGAAAGCTGTTAAGCAGAATAAGGCACTACCTGATTAATGATTAACTATGTCAAAAGGGAAACTATTCCATTCTGCCTTAAGTTAGAAAAATATCTAATCAATTCCTTCATATGTGATATCTTGTATAGTGACTCTTAAAAATGTATTTCTGGACCTAGATGTGATAAGTAAGTTATTTTCAGTTCTTGCACACATACATGGTACTTTACTATTGAATGGTGGATTTTTTAAAAGCTATTTTGAATTACATTTAGAAGTTGCAGTAATTCACTGTGAACATGCCTCTTGTAACCTCACCTGCCTATTTATTGCACATCCTAGCTTCAGTGTAAAATCATGCAAGGCAGAAACTAACATGGACATTTCCCCAAGAAAAATGATTTTCTAAAAGTGCTTCTCTTTGTTCCCTACATCCTAAAAACCAGGCATATCTTTGAAAATAATGCCCTAAGACATTACATAATATTTGCAGTATTTAAAACTTAAAAATAAGCTATGAAGAAAGTTCTTCTCCACATTAACAGTATACTTTATCAGCCTACCTATACACAGATTTCTAGATAACTTCACTGTGTGATTTCCAAAATAAATA